TGTGTGTGTGTGTGTGTGTGTGTGTGTGTGTGTGTGTGACCCAGCCCTGTCCCGCCAATGGGTCTAGACTGTTAAGGCAGGTAGCAGGTACCTGCCTTAATAGGCTAGATACCCGCTGGCTGCCATAACAGTCCTCCCGGTAGGGACTGGTATGAGAAAAACACTTTACACAGAACGCAGACATAGATACGTTAATTAAGATTTCATAGTACGCAATCTGGGCGAAAATACATACCTTAACCTTGGCAGAAGTAGCCGAAATGTCCAATCTGGGCGGCATGTACAAAAGGGGGGAGTTAAGGACCCTAAACACAGGCAAAACATCTTTTGAGCATGAACCCATTGCTAACCATTTCACTGACCACGTGCATGATTTCCATGGCCGCAGAATCAGGAGAAGTGCACAGCACCAGAGTAATCGCCACCTGTGGAATTATTATATTTAGTGATTGTTGGATATGTGTGTTGGAGAGGTATTTGACATATCTTCAGACTGGAAAATTTAACGTTCTGTGTTTATCGAACTTGGCCGTGTGAAAGTCCCCTGTAATATCCGAGGTAACCGTTATCTCGGCATTCAGAAACTGCGCCTTCAACCCATAGATTTCCCCAGTGTCCTGAGTGAGGAACACCTCAGTCTGATTCTTAATGGTTATGAGATGCATTGGATATAGGTGAAACACGTTCGTCTTCAGACGGGGCTGCTCCGGGTCGAGAAATTTTAGGATGAATGGATTATTAAGAACGTGCAAGTCGTCAATGTACCTAAAGGCGTGCTGGAACAGTGGGAGGATTTGATACGCTTGATTATCCACAATTCTGAGGATGAGCTGGAACTCATATTTGAAAAAGTAGAGCGTGCATAACGAGGGGGAGCAGGGTAGTCCCATGGGGATACCCTTGGTTTGCCTCCACACAGCTCCACCCAAGGAGGTATAACCTCTACAGAGAACCCAGTCAATCAGGGAATTCACCTCATCTTGGGTGAGGAAGAACAATGAGGAGCTGCCAGCCGTCGGCCGTTTCGAGAAAGCACATTCAATCTTGCCATTTTTCAAAATTCTGCACTTCATATGTTTGCCGACTTTTCGGTTATCCGCCATTCCCCAGGCTATACCTGCGAAAAATCGGAATGCAGCAGGAAGACCATCATCATCCCCGCTGATGGGAATGGTCTCAAAACAATGGGTAATGTCTCCGGAAAAAACCGAAAATACCCTGTCCGACAGATTGTAACAATAATCTTGCACTGAGTCTATAGCCCACCAGATCGAGGTGTCTATCCCATGGAACGCCCTCAGGCCATCCGTGATCTCCTTGCATTGGAGCTTTACAAATGGAATTAGGGCCTTAATGATCGCATCACACAGGGAAGCTACTGGGGTGAGGAAAGTCACCGCCGCGTTGGTAAGCCACCGGAAGGTCTTCTTGTGATGTTTATATAAGGCCATCATGTATGGCAGTTTCTCAGGGCCAATACATAAGCAAGGAGATATTTCTGACAAAGACTCAGTAGCCTCATCAAATATATCCCTTGGAGTCATATCTACACGTTCAAAATCCTCACTATTAAGCCTTTCCASTGCTAACCTTCTCACCAGGTGGATACAGGCAAATGAAGGAGTATTAGACGCTTTGTCTATGCTGGCAATGAACAGGCTCTTCGATAAGAAGTCTATCTCATTCCTTACCGCATGGACATTCAGTGGAGATGGGGGATCTGAATGTCTCTTCAAACCGAGAGTAGACAACTGGTTTCTGACCTGTCTCCTGGCAAAGTCGGTAGCAAGCTTGATAGCCGGGGTAGGAATGAAGGTCCTGGAGTTCACAAGGTCTACAATCTGATCCCAAGCAACAACAAAGGAACRAMAGGCATACATAAAGGACCTGGGTTGGAGGGGGATATGGTTTAACCCCTGTGAGAAAAGGGTTTTCAGGGCTTGGTTGTGGGAAATCGAGGGGTTCAGAGTAAGGACATGCTCCGAAGGAGTGGATAAAGGTTGGGCCATAGTGAGAGTCTCAGACAAATGAAATTGATCACATCTCGATGAAGAACATGGACACAACAATTTCTTTGAGCAAAAGGTAAGCCCCTCCCCGAGCTCAAAATCTTTGAATACCCGCGCCGGCCTGTACACAACAAACTCCAATGAATCAAGATACGTCCACCCCAATACAATGGTTGCAAGGAGGATAATAGCCGCAGGAGGGAAGAACTCCTCGAAGGCTCTCTCCACTATAGCCCTGAATCTGACGGCCTCCATGGCCCTATTCTCGTACTTAATATGGACAAACAGATTCGCCTGCGGGGATGGCGCATCCATCCACTTATTCCTGCCCGCCTCATCCTTAATCATAGCTCCTCCGCCTTCCCCAGGATCCTGAAGACCACAGATTAAAGAATAGCAAACAATCTCACAAATTAGCAACGAATCGTAGATAATCCTCTGTACAGGTATATACACGTGACTACACTCATACTCTCCCTGATTGCAAGACTAACATCACCTGGTTTGACCAGGTCTTGTGGTATTTGCTGGCCAATCTTGAATATCAATTCCCTGCTGCTCCCACTCTCAGGGCGAGGATGAGGGCGATGAAAACTTTTCTCGAAGAAAACCTGGCGCGCTCCTATTTTGGCATGTGTTGTTTTCTACCACATGAGGGCGATCATGGTGAGAATGGCGCACGACGTACTGAATGAGCCTACAGTCAGGCAGGAAAGGATTCTTGATGATGAGGCACTGATGGCTAGGAAGTTCCCGAAGAAGATGGCGTCTCTCATGCTTCCGGATAAATACCTCAAGAGCCCCTCCAAGCGCAGGAGGAATGAGACCCGGGCTGCTCGGCCAGTGAAAAGGCCGGCCAACACAATACTTTCGTACTATGTGAGGCCTGCCCCTGTTGCCGAAGGCGGTCGTGAATCCCCTCCTAGCCAACAGCACGCTATCATCACGGACACCCCTCCGGAATCCACCATCACCTCGCAGTTGGAATCTGGGAATTCCACTACAGCCAGACAGCCGCTCCGCTTCCAGAGACCTAACGCGTCGGCAAGAACGCTCTTCATAGGGTGATTCGGTCCCGCTTTCCAAACAGCGACACTTGAGGTAAGGACGACCAACATTCCAGATCCTCTTCAGTTCAACTAGAGGAGTTTGGACCTTCGGAGGGAAGAACCCTCGGATCGCAAGCTGTGATGAGGTAATAGAGCACTTCAACAGATCAAAGTGGCCAACTACCGGGAGCTTCATCGTATCCGACGTGCGGTGGTACGGGCCTTTGACGAGTTCAGTATTCTCCAACAAAGCCTTATCATAACAGCGGTCCATTTCCACTTCGGTGAGGGAGGCAAGGAGCCTATACGCACTTACACTAATTGGGGCTTCGTGGTTGAAAGTTTCAAAATCCCAAGCCTTATCGCCCTTCGACCTAGCCTCAGACTGAATCCGCCTAGCCGGAGCTATGGGAAGGAAGGCGTTGCGAAAAAACTTGTTGACTTCCCTACTTTTATCCTTGGCCATCCCCGCGGCCATCTGTGCATTGGACTCGGAGACATACCTGGCGTGAAAATTCCTCTCCTCTTCAGTGAGAATGAGACCATCATCATCATCTGAGTCTGGCTCCGATAATCTAAGCCCACCTGAGTCCATCTGGACCAAATCAGAATGGAACTGAGACTCCGCATTCCACAAATCAACAAAAACCTTCTCCTTCATCGCCATACTATCCCTGACGGATGCCTCCGTCAACAAATCATTTTCTAACACCTGCTTAGCATTGAGGACAAGGTTCTTCGACACTTCTAAGAATGATGCTCCATCGTTCGAAGCGGCCCAAAGAATATCTGCCCAATCATTGAAAGAGAGGACTGTGATTAGGGGTGGGTGGGGAGGTGGGACATGGAGGGAATTCATCCTCACGAACTCCATAATCATGGGGTTTGCGATCGACATCAGTGCTTGCGCCGGTCATGATGGCGCGGGAAACTGCTCCAGCCATGATTGCTCACCGGCAAGTAGCTCAGTGTACCATCCATTTGGCGAGAAAGGCGGCTTCTGCTACACAGGAAAAAACAAGGCAAGATTGGTAAGCATCAACGTGCAATACCCAGCAATGAGGGAACCAAGATGCTCTTCATATGCCAAGGAATCATCAGGTCAAGGTCGGATCATTCTCATGGTAAGAAACCGCCAAACAGTATACAACTCGGCAAAGTGGAGTCGACCACCTTGCTGGTAAATAGGCGGGCCCATGAGGGCCCTGTGAGTGTGTGATGAGAGACGAAACCCCCGCAAGTATAGTCGCGGCGAGTTGCAGAGCTCATGCACGACAAAGAGTACCATGAAACAACACAATGACCAACTCCGAGACTCGAGATTCCAAGCATCGAGAACACAGGAAACCAATATGCCGAGGAYGAATTACTGACTACCATTACCAAATAATTATTTCCTCATCTGTCCATGTAAGCACCACTAATCGTTGGAATGGGTAGGATCATAGGCTTAGAGAGGAAGGTGGGAAGGAGGAGAG